CGCCCGCGACACTCGAGTCTTTGACGCCGTGGACCAAAGGGACAAAAATACTTGACGTGCGTCTGTTGCCCTGGAAACAAGAGCCCAGTCCTGGACTTTTTCTGAAACAATGTCAGACCAAACTGAGACTTTAGTGTTTTTATGACATAAAACATCAGCGACTGGAGCCAGTTTATATTTATACTCCACTAATGACACTGGACCAGTCCTGGTCTAGTCCTGGTCTAGTCCTGGTCTAGTCTAGTCCTGGTTTAGTCCTGGTCTAGTCCTGGTTTAGTCCTGGTTTAGTCCTGGTTAGTCCTGGTCTAGTCCTAGTCCTGGTCTAGTCCTGGTTTAGTCCTGGTTTAGACCTGGTTCTAGTCCTGGGTCCTGGTTAGTCCTGGTTTAGTCCTGGTTTAGTCCTGGTCTAGTCCTGGTCTAGTCCTGGTTTAGTCCTGGTTTAGACCTGGTCTAGTCCTGGTTTAGTCCTGGTTTAGTCCTGGTTTAGTCCTGGTCTAGTCCTGGTCTAGTCCTGGTTTAGTCCTGGTTTAGACCTGGTCTAGTCCTGGTTTAGTCCTGGTTTAGTCCTGGTTTAGTCCTGGTTTAGTCCTGGTTTAGTCCTGGTTTAGACCTGGTTTAGTCCTGGTTTAGTCCTGGTTTAGTCCTGGTTTAGTCCTGGTTTTAGTCCTGGTTTAGACCTGGTTTAGTCCTGGTTTAGACCTGGTTTAGACCTGGTTTAGTTCTGGTTTAGTCCTGGTTTCCTGGTTTAGTCCTGGTTTAGTCCTGGTTTAGTCCTGGTTTAGAGTCCTGGTTTAGTCCTGGTTTAGTCCTGGTTTAGTCCCTGGTTTACCTGGTTTAGTCCTGGTTTAGTCCCTGGTTTAGTCCTGGTTTAGTCCTGGTTTAGTCCCTGGTTTAGTCCTGGTTTAGTCCTGGTTTAGTCGTTTAGTCTGGTTTAGTCCTGGTTTAGTCCTGGTTTAGTCTTGGTTTAGTCCTAGTCCTGGTTTAGTCCTGGTTTAGTCCTGGTTTAGTCTTGGTTTAGTCCTGGTTTAGTCTTGGTTTAGTCCTGGTTTAGTCCTGGTTTAGTTCTCGGTGTTTGTGGTGTTTATATTCATGTTCCGTTGATGTTTGTGGTTCTGGTTCTGGGGTTTTTCTTCCTGTTAATGACGTCGCTGCGTCTCTGGATACTCGTCCCTGATTGGTCGACGCGGCGTCTGACATGAAAAGTTCAACATTTCAACCAAAACGCTCAAGCCGCAGCGTGTGGACCCCAGACTCACACCAGACTCACCCCAGACTCACGCCGCAAACACGCAGGAGCACATCCACTTTACACAGAAACTGGACGATTTGGTGAGAATGAAGCTTAATAAAAGAAAAACACAAGAAAAAGAAGAAGAAGAAGAGGAAAAGAAGAAGAAGAGGAGGAGGAAAAGAGGAGAGGAGGAGGAGAGGAGAAGAAGAGGAGAGGAGGAGGAGAAGAGGAGAAGAGGAGAGGAGGAGGAGGAGGAGAAGAGGAGAGAGGAGGAGGAGGAGGAGAGGAGGAGGTGATGGATGAAGCGGTTTCACACTGAATATTTTTGTTGTTTTTTTCATGTGAGAAAAATTCACTCTCCCACAGATACAAACCCCCTCACCCCCCTCACCCCTCACCCCCTCACCCCTCACCCCCTCACCCCTCACCCCTCCCCCGTCACCCCGTCACCCTCAGAGAACTGCCCCTCTGCCCCCCCTCTGCCCCCCTCTGCCCCCCTGTGTCCCTCAGGCTCTGGTCTCTGTGTCTCTGTGTTTCCTCTGGGTTTGTGGGTCCAAGTTTCCCAGAGTTTGGGTTTTCAGAAGAACAGAACCAAGAGGAAGAAGAAGAAGAAGAAGAAGAAGAAGAGGGAGGAAAGGAGGAGGAGAGAAGAAGAGGAGGAGGAGACGCCACAGGGACAAAATGTTCACGAGACAAAGCCTGAAGTCCAGGACAGAGCAGCAGCCAATCAGAGGCTGCGGTGTGTCTCTGCCCCGCCCCCTGAGGGTCAGAGGTCAGAGGATGTTTCTTGGGAATTTATCAAATTAAGTCCAAATGTGACTCTGGGACAAAGAGTCCAAAACCAGGACTAAACCAGGACTGAACCAGATCTAGACCAGGTCCGCCTCCAGTCCCCCCGGACCAATCAGAGCCCAGGAGCAGAGCGCTGTGTTGTGATTGGTCGGTGAGGACAGGTGAGGGGGCGGGGTCAGACTCACCTGTGAAGCTCCGGTTCCACATTCGAGGCGTCACCACGTCCCTCTGAGGCCTGAGGTACCGAGGCCCGGGTCCAGGTCCGGGTTTAGGTCCGGGTCCAGGTCCGGGTCCGGTCCTGGTCCGGTTCAGATCCGGCAGAGACTCGTTCAGAGCCAAAGAGAAAAGAAGCACCGAGTCATAGAAGCCAGCGGCCACGACGTTAAACTGACAAAGAAGAAGAAGAAGAAGAAGAAGGTCAGAACCACAGAGAAGAAGAAGAACAGGAGGAGGAGGAGAGGAGGAGGAGAGGAGGAG